ATAATAAGAGTTATAAAATGCCATATATTATGGCATGCAATGACATAATCACTATATTGTTTAAAAATAAATGGAACATTATAACAATGTAAAATATTCAAAAAAATAACAACATATATAAATGATACAGCAAATGAGCAATTAAGCCCTTAAAAACAAATATAATGTCAAGTGATTAAAACATTAATTCAAGAAAATAGGAATAAAAATGGTTTTCTTTTAGCTTCAAATCTTGTGAAGTACTCTAATCTTCACTCGAACCATCAATTACCGGAGAAACGGAGCTGCGAGTGGCTGATTCTGGGGCTGCAGTTCTACGTTTTCGATGCCTCAAAATTTGAATCAACGTTCCGATGATAACCTGGGAATTAAAATGAAATATTATGTGTTGAATTCTTAAACTGAAAAAAAATAAAGAAATTAAACTTAAAGGAACTAAACATAATTTCAAAAGTATATTCATGATTATTATTATTATTTTATTTTTGTGGCTAAAATGAAGGGGGGAAACCCCTTTTTGTGTGAATTGTGCGCACACTTGTACACATGCATGTGCGTTTATTGTGTGTGTTTAAATACATAAAATATATACAAGCTAAACACAATCTTTGCACAAGAAAATTAAAAATAAAAATATTGAGATGTCGGGTTACCCGAGTTGGGCCGGCAGCAATAAGTGAACCGGCTACAGCACCACCATAGCATCGGCCTTCGGAATCAGCCAAAAGTACGCTTAATAGGCACTTTTTAGCACCTCTTATTCCATCATATGTATGCGATCCATTTAAGTGTACTATAGTCAGCTGTACCACCAATACGCGAGATCAAATTAATTGCGAAAATAATTACAAGTATGAACAAAATATAGAGATCATATATATATATAAACCTCGTATCGGAAAATGTCACGGCGAGGATTAGGCACATAAACTTCAGCAATAGAGACTGTACCCGAAGCCGACATAATGCAAATTGAATCGGGAGTCATCTCAGAAAATGACCTAATTCTTTGCACTATGTCCTGGTCGATCAAACAACGAAAGTTAAACAATTAATATGTAACTTTTAGTTATAACGATTAATCTTATACGTTGAAGAAAAAACGAATCGATTGATATACATATATATTATATTTGTATACCTCTCCTTGTTCAATTGTAATGGTGTGGAAAGTGAAGTTTCTTCCCGCCGTCTCCCCAACACTTCCACCTTCAATATTACGAGAAATATTGCCCCGGTTAGCAATAAATATATATGGAATAAAAGTTTGTCAATAATTTATTTATTTGCAATACAAAAATATTTCGATAATTAATAAGGAAAATTGATATCATAATTTTTTTTTATATATATTGAACAATGAGAGTATTGTTAGATGCACTAGAATTGCACGAATGTCACACCGTACAAGAACTAAATTGATTTTAC